CCAATCACCTCTAATAATGTTGGAGAGAAAACTTGAATAGAGAAAGGGTTAAGAAATGGGTTTCCTAACATTACTGAGAGAAAAAAGTCTTATATGATCATGTCATGAATAAAAATGAAACCCGGTAATCAAACTGACTACTTACTTCAAATCAGGTTTCTTGGCAGTTTTATATACATTGAAGGCACTAGACTGTATCTATGAGCATTAATGTATTCTGTAAAAAGTAGCTTCCTCTTGAATAGTCATGCATAGATTGAGATTCTTTGATGCAGCTCTGTCTCCTCAAAGCATCAAAAATAAATGTTAAAGAGATTCCCTGTAAATTGTTTTCATCTACTTGCAGTTCTTTTTATTCAGCTTCTCATTCAAAACGTGAGTTTACAATTGTTTGCTTTTATCTCACCTTTATGAAGCCCTAGAGGTTCAGAAATGGTGACTGAGAGCCAAGGCTGCACCTGTACCCTGGCTTGGACTTTTCTCACTTTCCTGCAGCTTGATTGCCCATCTCTCCTGTGTGCCAGAGCTCCTGCCTGGGATACATTCCTGGGGCTTCTTGCCATGCAGAGGTTGCTAAGGGTAGATGCTGCTGCACCGCTGAGCCTCACCGCACCAGCAGTCAGGATGTGGCTTCAGACATCAACCCAGAGCAAGAGCTCAAACAGGCCCCCAGGTTCCCTAGACTAATTAGTTCCCTAGACTACTATGTCACACAGGCATAATCTGTAACTTGTATTAAGACAGTGGCAGAAATGGTCTCCATAAAAAGCTGTTAGCATCAAAACTTATGCATCTTAAAGGAAGATATGCATAGCTGACATATTTAAATTTAATAGCTTAAGCAGGAACCCCTGACAAACCCAAAATCAGCATACAAACCATGTACTAGAAGGTATTAAACTAGGGAGCATTAATTTCAGTGGAAATAAAAAAAAAAAAAAAAAAAAGCAGTCATCGAAGGAGTCAGAGAAAGACCTTCAGGCAAGTAAATACACCCGTCTTGTCAGTGATAGCAGCCAAACCCTGGATTTTGCTTATTTCTCTACAATTGGCTCTCTATGAAGATGCTTTTTCTGATCTAGGGACATCACTTAACAAGAACTAAAATGCTTTAGGCAAGTCATCTGGTCCTTTGTTTCTATGCTACAGGAGTGTTTTATCTACTCAGAAATTCAAGGTAAAACAAAAAATTATCCTATCAATAGGATACAGAAAACTGGAGCCCTGAAACAGGACATACCTGGCAATTGACAGCAAATTTTGACCAAATGAAGGTACGATGCTCACAGTCTTTGTGACAGAGATTGTTTCAGCAAGTCTAGTTTTGACCATGCCTCAGTGGTCTCACAGCTCTGAAACAGAAACCAGAACATGCCACCAGAATGAGGCAGCGTGTGGAAGGAAAGAGCTGGTTGGAAATAAACAGCAGAAAATAGCAGAGGGGGTAAAAACCAGGTTCTGTTTCTGAAGTTCTTTATCAATATTCTTTATCAGATGATAAAGAAGTTGCTTTTTAAAAATCTACCTATTTATGAGCATAAATGGAAAATACACAGTCATATGGGAAAAGATGAGAGAGACCAACCCAGACCATGCCACGGCATTTGCAGGGAAGAGAAAACTATGTTGCAACAGACAGTAACATTTAGAAAATCTATTCAAGCATTTAGAAGGCCTATTTCAAAGTTATAATGGCATTTTGAGTGTCAAAAATTTAAAATAGAAATGCATGTACATTCTGTAAGCCATCCTGCCAAGGGACTTAACTGGCAACTCCTGCATACCTGCATTAGGTAATGGTGCCAAGAATTCATCCCCTATTCTTTGCAGCCATATAAAGGGAAATAAAGTTAGTGCCTATCTACATAACCACAAGTGTGGATGCAGGTACTTAAAACATTAGATAAGAAAATACAATTTAGGTAAAAGGCTTTAGTGATATTGCTCCAGGGAAGCAGTACTGTGGGAACACTTCTGCAAAATGCCTCATCCAAGATTTCAAGACACATTTTTCTGGGACACCATTATGCCCCATACCGCTGTCCCTCAGTGGGCAGGCTGGCCCAGGCTCCCAGGCCATGTCTCAGCAGGGAGCAGCACAATTCCCACTGTGCCAGGGAGCAGAGAGGTGACACAGGCATCCCTCAAAACAAATCCACATCTACCAAAACAGTCCCTGTGGCTGGGGAGGAGAGTTTCTTGTTAACCATCACTATGGTCAAGATGCCACCCACATGGTAAAAAAATCCCAGTTCCTCTTTGGCGTTATCCAGATGAGCATATTATGTCAAAAAGGGAGAGTTGCCAGGGTTACAACTACTGAAATAACATGACATTGTTTGCTGCGTGGCTCAAACCTACCACCGCCTCCAGGCTCTCCCAGGGCTCCTGAAGAGGAAGGCAGGGTGTTTCCTGCAGTGGGGGTCAGTCAGGCCCTGCCCCACCTCCAGCCTGGGCCCCAGAGACACTGTTTTGGGGTGAAAAGTAAGGCTGGAGGGATGGAGAAACTCCTGTTCCTTGCCCTGTCCCTGGTGCAAGTCTGCAGGGCCACGCTGCCAGCTGATGACTGCATCATGTCCATGTCCGTATGGGCTGTACAAGTCCATTTGACCACAGTCAGGATCAGTCCTAACATGGGCCAGCTGTGCAAACACCTGCTGGGCAAAAAGGAGAGGCCTAAGGCTGCTTGGAGGGGCTTGGCCAGGCCCTTCTTTATTTCAGGTTTTTCTCTAGTGGTTTTCCTATGTTGTTGCACCCAAATCAGCACTGGGGCAGATGGCCCCGGCTGACTTGGACACATACCAGAAAGGGCTGAGCAGGTGCCACAGAATCTCATGAACAAGCCTTGTGTAATGAAGACTTTTTTAGGAGTAACTTCTTGGCAGCAATACCAGTCTAAGAAGTCACACGCCCTATTCCGCTCATCCTGTGCTGCACTCTCACAAACATCTGTGCACCAAATCAAACCAAAGAACTGATGCAGCTAAAACCCCCTATTTTTGTGACTTTTTGCTCAATTGTTTGTAGTGGATTCCTTCCCCAGTCCATGTCACTGCACAGCTACACAAACACAGAGGCCAGCAGATGACCAGGATGAGAAATCCTGTGTAAGTCAAGCCCTGAGTACACGGGACTGGGGGACTGCCCTGAGCATGACACATCAGCAGCCACCCCTTCGCAGGACCAGGGAGCTGACAGCACCGCAAGGACAGGCAAGAAACCTCAGCACTGGGCACTGCAGAATTTCAGACCCGTAGCTTTGGTTGAGTCAGGAAGAAACAAGGTTAAACCAGCCCAGTAATGCAGGCAGCAGATCCCAAAGGAAAACAGCCTGGGATTTCTGTGACAGCCGTGCAAGAGGCAGTTATTGTGTAAGGGAGACCACTGCAGGAGCCTACTGAGCAAATCTCATATTCTGATGTGTTCAGATAAGTGGGAAGATTGTATAAGCAAAAGGAAAAGTGACACAGCAATTTATTCATATCTACTTCTTCACACTGTCAGTGTGAATTTTAACTAATTCAAAATTAATTTAATTTTCAAAATCACTTTTAGGGAGTAAAATTGCAAAGTTGACTGGTCACAACCAGATACAATGCAAAGTGGAATTCCAGTTTTGTGTATTACATGACATACAACATTATGTTATTTCTTAAAGCCCACAAGCTTTATAAGATACCCCAAAAAAGCAATTTGTACACTACCAGCCCAGCCTAGAAAATACTGTATTCAAACATCAAGCAATTGCTATGCTGAAAGCTCAGAGACCAAAAACACCAGCCCGCCAAGATCACAAGGATACTGTTATCAAAGACAAAAATCTCATGGCAGGCTGTTTCCCCAGAGTCACCTGCACTAACCAGGAAAGTCTGTTTTGCTCCTTCAGTTTCACAAGAAAAAACTTAAGTCAGTACAATCTGGCGAGAAGAATTCCATGGGAAAAGCTAGCCAAGTGGGAATAAGAATCCCACCAAGAAATACCTTTGTGTGTCCCCAAAGCATATTGTGACTTATCAAACATATTAACATGTTGCAGGCGTACACTTTAAAAAAAAAAATAACTACTAGGTTTCTTCCCTAGAACAGCCTTAGGTTATAAACTAAGCTGCAGAGAGGCCAAAGATACAGAAGGTGAGCAACAAGAGTCATTCTCCAAAGGTGCAGAATTCAAATTAATCAGCCCTTCAGGAGAAAGGCTGGATGTGAATAACTACCTACATTGCCCCTCAAAAGGAAATAGCTGCCTCCAAAGTTCATCTTCATAGAGGAAAATACGGTTGAGCTTAAGACTGAGCAAAAAGTCCCAAGCTCAGATATATCAGATCCATAAAACACAGCCAGCTGCCTGCACCTTGGGTAGGAACAGACTTGCTGTGTCTCTGGAAGGATCAGGATTTTCTCCTGCCTTAGTTCAAAAATAGGGTAAAACCTTTTTTTTTCTGTACAGTTACAGTCAAAAAAATGGGGATAAGATGGTGGTTTTCTCTCGCTTTAACTGGGGAACATCGAGAAAGGAAAAGTTCCCACGCAGTATGTTCCCACCTGGCACAAGTTCTCCAGGAGTGTAGAGGAGCGGGGAGGCGGAGAACCAGGCCCTACATCTCTCCCCGCAGCCAGTGAAGTCCCCTGGGCTGGGCAGGTGACAGCGAGCGGGTCACTGGCCCCGCTACGGCCCGCTGGGCTCGCCGCCATCCGCCGCTGCTCGGCCGGGCCCTCCGAGCCGCTCATGAGCCCCCAGAGCCGCTCCTCATCCACCGCCGAGCCGCTCCTCAGCCCCCCCCAGAGCCGCTCCTCAGCCCCCCCAGAGCCGCTCCTCAGGCCCCCCAGAGCCGCTCCTCAGCCCCCTCCAGAGCCGCTCCTCAGCCCCCTCCGAGCCGCTCCTCAGCCCCCCCAGAGCCGCTCCTCAGCCCCCCCAGAGCCGCTCCTCAGCCCCCCCAGAGCCGCTCCTCAGCCCCCCCGAGCCGCTCCTCAGCCCCCCAGAGCCGCTCCTCAGCCCCCCGCGCCAGCGCGGCCCGGGGCTCCGGCGGCAGGGGCGGATCAGCGGGCCCCGCGCCCCCGTTCCCAAAGGCTCCTCCTCGGCTCCCGGCTCCGCAGCCACCTGTGCGCGCCCCGGGCGGGGCGGGGCCGGGCCGAGCCCCGGGTCCCTCCTCCGCCGGTGCCTGCGGGAGGGACGGGACGGAGAGAGGCTCCGGCAGCGCGGCGGGACCCGGCGGAGGGAGAGCCCGGCCCGGGGAAGAGGCGGCCCCGCCAGGTGCCGGGCCGAGGGCAGCGCGTCCCGGCGGGGCAGCGCTCACGGGCATGGACAAGCTCAACAGGCTGACGGTGCCGGCCGGGGAGAAGTTCAGGTAGGGGCTGGTCCTCTCCCGGTCTCCTCCGGGAATGGGGCTGCTGCGGGAAGGCAGCGCTGGGACGCGCGGCGGCACCGGAGGCGCCGAGGCACGAGGAAGTTGGCAGGAGTTTTAGAGCAAAAGGGAGTTTTACCCGTTTTGACCCGGTGGCCAGGGCGCCGCAAGGAAGTGCGGGAGGTAAACACGGGTCTGGAGTGGATAACGCAGATTTCGAAGTAAAATAGGTGTCGGCTTCACCTGCAGCGCAAAGAGGGGTATTTTCAAAGTGTCTTCTTTCAAAGCTGTAAGGAAATAGTGTGTGGCTCATTATGATGTATGAGTCTTATGCAAATTAAAAAAACTTAATTGCTCAATGCTTTAATGTCTTATGAAGATGGCTTTTGCAGTTAAGTTTTGTAATGTTTCCTAATCTTCGAAAGAACTGGTGGAATAGAGGGAACTGGAAAACGGGAAATGTTCCTAAGTGAAGGAGAACAATGTTAAATACAGGGTTTGAGAGGAAAAAAGCAGAAGCTGGCCATTACTGAAGTATTTTTAGTGTGTCTCGATTCATGTACTGCTATAGTTGGCACCTCAAGGCTCTTTCATCATGACTTTTTGTATTTCTGAATACTTAAAAGAAGTTCTGATTCAGATTAAAGTAACATGGAATTCTTTTCCTCTAAAAAGTAAGGATGAAATACTGAAAAATATTTTTCCTAAAATAAGTTATACTTAAGCACTCAATACTAACTTATAAACCCTTCTCAAATCTCTCTCCCTCTCCCCAGAAACCTTCATGCAAACTGGAATAATCCCTTGTAAAGCTAAATTTAATGGAATGCCGTTTGTTAATATCTACTCTCTCCATACTGTGGCAATATTGTTGTGGGGGGTGTGTACTTGCAGAGCTGCAGTGACGCTTAGCTCGTCAGCCAGGCACACCTAATGAAAGCCAAGCAGGCTGCATCCTAAGCCCAGCCAAGGACTCTGTGGAAGGTTCAATGGACGGGGAAAGAACGCAGGGAATCTCCTCATTGTCTGCAATTTACCACCTTAAGTAGTCTGAACTGGTTTAAATGGTGTCAGAGCTCAGTGTTGGTCTAAACTAGCAATCTATAACTAGTTGAGAAACTAGATGGAAAGATTGTTTCCCTCCATTACTGCTAGATAAAAAAATTAAGTACACACCCTCTGCTGTCAAAATTGTAGCTGGGATTCTCCTTATGCACTTTTGTAAACAATTAAAGCAGGATTGCCTTCAAGTACCTAAAGTGGGTCAACGTGTGAGGGTTTTAACAGCCCACACCTTTTTGTGAACTGATTCAAAAGCCCTAAACCTGAAAGGCAGCACCACCCCTCTGCTGCATCTTCACATAGATGACACTCTCTATCTCATTTGAGGTTTTAATAATGTTGTAAAATAGGGAAGTAGCTCTGCTTTCCTGTATTAACCTGAAGTATTACCAGTTACTTTTTCTCTCCTCCTCATGGCCAATCCAGCCTATTTGTGCAGGGAATGTAGGAGCGTTTCTCAAGCGTGTGAGCGTTCTCACCACACACAGTGGACGCGTGTGCTTCAACTTGAGCATGTTGAAATACTCCTTAGAAACATGGATATGGGGCTACAAAATCTTACTGTGGTATCAGAATTTTAAAACCTGAAGGCAGAGCTTTCCATGAGTAGATATTCACAGGCTAAATTTAAGAGAGATATGCAAATACAGGAAGAGCTCAGCATAACGTGGTGGGAGCCCTTTCCTCCATCTTTGAAGCACCTGGATACCCCCTCGTGCTCTTTGACCTGTTGGCAGTGCAGTTGACTTCCTAATACCACACCTGTCTGCATGGAGCACACACAGGTGGTTCAGAGTTTGTACATGATCTAAATGGTTATGTCAAAGATCCTATGTTAAGATGCCATGCCAAGAAATGTTCCTGCCACACATAGTTTCAATTTATGTGATTATAGTTTGCATTTTTAAAGACAGCTTTTTTAAAATTTCTGCTTTGTAGCAGTAAAACTTAAAAACGCACTACTGTTGAGTCTGAGAGAGGGTCTTTTGATTTTTTTAAGTGTAGACCTGAAAAACTAGATATTACGTGGTTTTGCTATGCTCAACTATTCTCCATGGGTATAGTTGAGCCTACAAGATGTAACTTTTTGTTGCACTAGCAAATCTTGCATCAGATCTGAATTCTTAACAGGTTGCATTTGTTAAGTTTATTACAACAATAAGAACTATAAAAGTTCTTATATGTCTGTCTGCCTAACATGTTGGGGTATGTACATTGTTTGCAGTTAAGCCACTCAACTAACTTCAGTAATAGTTGGACAGGAATGCTGAAACTTCATGGAATTCTGGTATTAATTTCTATTTAGTGTTTCTTATAAGTCATGCACAGTATTATACAAATATTCCCTCAGAGTACATTGTATGTTCTAACTGCTTCCTTATAGTCAGGAAAAATTAATTCAAAGGCTTGGTTATTTATTGTGAGACTAACTAATCTGTGGTGTGTGCAAGTATCTTGGTACTTTGAATTGCTTCCCAAAGAGTGGAATGAATGCATGAGCAATAGCCATACTGCCATGGCAAGCTCTAGCGTGCCTGGATTTCAGACTGAACTTCAGGGAAAAAAAAAATTATGCTGCAAGCATACAGAAATAGATGCACTCATGATCAGGGACAGTAGGCAGCATGGGTAATGGGAAGTTAGCAGCTCAAAAGAAAATTCTGCACTAACTTTGCAAACTCTTTTGTGGTTTAACTTCCCTAGACTATAAGCCTATGATTCCTAGTATTTAAATAATTTCTAGCTGCTATATATGACTATGTCACAGCATCTCTTCAGACTTGCTGCATTTTTTTATTATGACCACAGACCTTAATGATGACCCACTGCCCATAGCTGGCTTTGCTGTGTGGCACAAAGTCCTTTTGAAGGCATCATCACCACTGTGGTAATGGGCAAACCATGGCACAAACCGAAGTGTGCCACATGCTTTCACTTGCCTAAGGTCATACAGCCAGGAAGTTCCAGATTGCAAACAGCCTTTTCCAAGAGCACAGTTTCATGGTAATTTCACATGACTTCATTAATTTGCAGCAGTCCATCTCTGCCCCCAGCAAAAACAAAGGCTTAAAATCCCTGTCTCCAAGCATAATAAACTGGCAGTTTACTTTTCTCTGGTTGAACAAGAGTGTCTGGGGTTTTTTGCGGGATTTTGTATTAGTCCCACTTGTTAAACAGAAGGGTTTAAGTCTTAATTCTATGAAAATCATAAGGGGTTGCCTTAAGGCCTGAATGTCTGTTTTCTATTATACCTGGAGATGTTTATAGTCTTCACTAATTTTCTGCTGGTAGCTTGGCTGTAACTGCTAGGCCTTTTTCGGATCTTCTGACAATGTGTCTTCTTGAAAGTGTATAGTAGAAAAAAAAAAATTCATTTGGGATTGAAATTTTATTTATTATCTCAGATTTCATCTTACATATAGGATATGATGCTTTACCATAGTGAGCATTTGCTTTTGGAGAAAATGTTTGGGGAATACCTGAATATTAGTTTTGTGCTGTAAAAAAAAATTTATTATAGTAGTTCTATTAATTCCTCTTAGTGGTAGCAAACAGTCTTAGAAACTTAATCTGTTTTTTCAAGGCAAATTTTAACTTAGTTTATTACCTCAATGAGCTTGAACAGTACAAAATAACGAAAATTAACTCAAGCAAGAAATTAACTTGAGTTTCAAAGTAACATATAAATATTCCCCATGACAAAATTAGGCATCAAAGCCCACATCTGACTTCAACATCTCAACCTCTCATTAGTTACATAGAGTCCAGAGGAGAGGCTATGCAAATGATAGAATCTTTCAGTAGTTTGGGTTGAAAGGGACCATCCTGTTCCCATCCCTCTGCCATGGGTTCCACTAGATCAGGTTGCTCAAAGCCCCATCCAACCTGGCCTTGAACACTTCCAGGGATGTGACAGCCACAAGTTATCAAGCCAGCCTGTTCCACTGCCTCACGACCTTCACAGTAAAGAATTTCTTCCTAATATCAAACTGGTCTCAGTTTGATGCCATTGCCCCTTCTCCTGTTACAACATACCCTTGTAATCAGCTCCCCTCCAGCTTTCTCGTAGAACCCCTGCAGTTACTAAAAGGCTGCAATAAGATCACCCCAGAGCTTTGCCTTTTCCAGGCTGAACAATCCCAATTCTCTCAGCCTCACTTCAGCTCTTCTACCTGCACTGGTGTGTTCACCTCCTTCTAACAAAAGTCTAATCTGCCCTAAGGACATAACAGCTATGAAGGTCTTCTGGTCTTCACCACCCATTGTCACCCACAGCCACCTCCTGTCTCAGCTTCCAGTGTCTCCTGGCAGCTTCCCACTGCACAGTACCACTCTGTGGTGACAGCAGCTTCTGTGGCACACCCATGGTTTAGCCCAGCAGGTGTAGCCTGCATGTAAGGTCACATGAAATCCCAGTTCAGTGATTTGCAGTCTTCAAAGCTGAGTTTCACAGGCACAGGGAAAGGAGGTTACCAGGTGCATTTGCCATGCTGATGAGCACAAACAGAAGTTTTTTTCTGTGGGATTGTTAGGTCCTGTTTGCCAAACAAAGCACAGGATTTTGATTAAAAGATAAAGTTTTATAATATCTATTTCCTCTAGTTTTCTGTCAGCTTAAATAGTTCATGAATCTCTCTCTTATCTCTGGACTTTGGAATGAAATGAGATGGGAAATGCAAACTTCCCCAAATACCACTGTAAAAATCCATTCTTTCACTCAGTGTGATTTCTCCAGTCAAAACCTATTTCTTCTCCCTCTGACCTTGCCTCAGCACAGCATAGCCTCCTTCCCATCTATATTTATCCTTCTTTATTCCCTTCCCTCTGCACAACCACTTCATTCTACCAATCCCTTTAAGACTTCTTTTCTACTTTTCAGCTATGTGATCCAACCTGGACTAATCCTCAGGATAAAAAACCAACCAACCAAAACAGCCAAA